GTTTCTTTGCTGTTGTCCCTGGCCTGAATAAGTTGATAATTTTGTTAATATTTCCTGTCTGAGTAATTGTTAACTTCTTCATTTTTCTTACATCAATAAAGTACTGTCATGGTTTGTTATCCGAAAAAAAGTTCACAGAAGCAAAGAACACTGAATATAAATGTTTTGCAGACATTACCTACGGAAAATTGGGACTTTTAATTGATGATAAGAAGTAATAACATAAATTGTTCTGAGGAATGGATGAAGGGAAATCGTGGTAAATTTGGATAAGTAGCTTCACGGGTTATCCGGGATTGCATTTTTAGGAGTTGAAGATGAAGAAATGATTTTCAAAGAGTGCTGTACTACCACTGTAAAGATTTTTTTTGTTATTCCTGTACTGATGTTGATCACGTTCCATACGCTTTATTTGTTTTGGCTTTTTGCAAAGGAGATTTTAGCCGTACAAGAAAGAAATTAATATTAGGGAGTGAACGTTGAGAAAAGTCTCTTTCTTTTCTGTTCGAATATTTGAACTGTGCCTGAAATTACGGATAGTCGCTTCGAGCAATATCAAAGAGTATAATACCTTAAGAGCGAAAAGATGAAAGACATTTCATTTGTAATTTCGGTATCAGTATTTAGTGGTTGTGGAAGGGAAGGAACAGATTTAAAGAAATATTGTGTTATTGCTGAATGGTTATTTTTCATTTTTATAAAATCTTGACCTTACTTAATTATCAAGCAAGTGAAGTTTAACTTCTTTTTGCTTTTTGAAAAGTAAACTTTTGAGTGTAATAAGCATGGGTTCACGGTTTTGATGAGAATGTTAAATGAACTTTATTAAATGCGCTTTGCAATAGACTAAACGTTTGCGCAAACGGTACCTCGTTTCACCTAGTTCCTTAAAATAATGTAACAAGATTTCTTCCGAAAGTTGTATGTGAATTTAAAGATTGCTGAAGACTGAAATCATTGCCGCGTTGAAAACTGACAAAGAAAAAGGTGACGTTGAGTTTATCAATTAAAAATGTTTTCGAATGAAAGCAGTATAATTAACGTGGCACTTATCACTGGTTCTGCCATATTTCTTTCTTCGATAGCGCTGTATCACTTTTTATATTGGCGGAAAGGTATCCATTGCACATTTTGCCCGTTTTCTGGTTTTACTAGAAAGGTAAGAATTTGTTCGTTTTTGGATAATTTGTCTTAACAATAAATTTTATTTTGCAGTTCAGTTTCATAGAAACCGAAGTTCCATTACTATTACCTTAATTCTTGGAGAGTCATAGACTTATTTTGCAACTTTTTCGATTCCAGAAATTAACCCTTGTGGATTCAGAAGCGATATATCCTTTGGCTTTAATGCAAAAAGAAATTGTTAATCACGACACACGAAGATTTCGTTTCAAGCTACCCACGAATGAACACATTCTTGGTTTGCCTGTTGGCCAACATATTCACCTTTCTGCTAAGGTAATTTTCGCTGGAGCTTTTGAAGTTTTATTTCAGTTAATGGTTAGGGACACGTAAGTATTATATATTGAAAGCTTTGAAGACATGTCAGGTTTGATAATCGTGAAATGCAACACGTGTTATAGATGCAATAATTGTGCAGCCTTCCGAAAGAGCTTTGTATTTTCAACTTTCCAACTCATATAGCATCTCGAGAAATCGATCTTATATGTTAGTTTGTAAAAATAACAATTGTTAAAATAAGCAAATTTCAGATAAACGGAAAGCTTGTTGTTCGTCCATATACGCCGGTTTCATCCGATGATGACAAGGGATATGTCGATTTGATGGTTAAGATTTACTTTAGTAACGTTCATCCCAAGTTTCCGGATGGTGGAAAAATGACGCAGTATCTTGAGAAAATGGAGATAGGTATGAATTTGATAATAGAATAGAAATTGAAGGGATTCTCTTCCACCCATACGAAATGAAATTTCACCGTAAGTTATGATCATTTTCGTTTCATTGTAAAATTCCATTTGTGGATTGTTGAAAGATGTCCGACATTTTCTATCAATGAGAGGAAGGAATGGTTACGGTAGTTATGACTGTCCCTAACTGATATCATGACATCTGTAAGAAGCCAATAATCCTAAGTGACTACGATGTTATTGTTGCGTAATATCAGGTGAAACAATTAATTTTCGCGGTCCTTCGGGATTAATCGTTTATGAAGGAAATGGTTCGTTTGCTGTGAAATTAACGAAAAAAGCAGAACCGAAAAGTCGCATGTACAAAAATATCGGTATGATTGCAGGTGGTAGTGGTATCACACCGATGCTGCAAGTAAGATAGTGATTATATAATTGTTTTCTGCACATATGATTAACTGGTTAATAATACAATAATGTGAATAGCGAGAAATATATTTGCAGATTATCTTAGCAATTGTAAAGGTTCCGGAGGACCCTACCAAGGTGTCACTGATTTTTGCAAACAAAGATGAAGCCGATATATTGCTTAGGTTTGCAGCAGAATATGTTATGATTTAAATTTTTTGATATTTGGGAACCATAAAAATGGTAATGTTGTAAATTGTGTGCTTTTGTGAGATGTGTTAGATATGCTTTAATTGACAGCTTGACTTATCAAAATTGAATGCTTGAAAGGTTCAGCTGTTCTAATCGATTCTTTTCCATCTATATATAATAAGCAGTTATCTGTAGTTCATTGTTGACTTACCTTGCTTTCTTAGTTTAGTAAAGAATGTTTGATTCTTAATCTTCACAATAACATTTTTCCGAATGATGAATTATATTCAGATTACATTCCTTTTCTTTTGAATTATATTCCTTTGAAATGACGATCTAACTAAATCTTTGGGATACTTTGCATCTCATGCAATCAAAAATATTTAGTTTGGTTTTTAGAGATGAGTTAGATAGATTAGCGGCGGATCACCCGACGAAATTCCGTGTGTGGTATACAGTCGACCAGGCAAAGCCTGACTGGATATACTCAACAGGTTCATTTGGATTACTTTCAAATAGAAAATAAGTATAAAGTTGTAGGAATGTCACTGATGCAGTTCATCTTGGTAGAAACATAACACTTATCATAAATTTTTCACTGTTATATATTTATAGGATTTGTGAATGCAGAAATGATCCAGAAGCATTTACCCAGACCCGGAAACGATACGGTAATCTTGATGTGTGGCCCACCACCAATGATCAAGTTTGCCTGTATACCAAGCCTCGATAAGTTAGGTTATCCAGAGAGTGACCGTTTGATTTTCTAAATTTCAGCTTACTGGTAAATTGAGAAGTTTCTAGGTTTCTGTAGTTTAAATCTCTATATCTGTCCCCCTATTTGACAGTGATGGCTGTCATAGATTTGTTCAGCGACTTGAATGAGCTTTTATACTTTACTGCTCTCATCTTTGTACATATATGATCTTATAGAAAGTAGCAGAACCATGAATGCTTCCTCATGAATTAATTTGTTCTGTATGTTAAATAAACTTGTTGAATTCCTTTCGTTATTGTTTGTATCACATAACAAGGGGAAATCCCATTTTTTGATTATTTTCCGAATAAAAAACGATCCCGATCATTGAACGCAGGTCATATATTAGCGGTAATATATATCGAAGGCGTCAGCAGTGAATTTGTCAAACTATTCCATTTAATGTATCCGGTAGTTGATCTAACGCTATTCAGAAGTGAACTTGTCCAGAAAATTCAGTGGTCATTTTAAAATAGCATTCGCTTCCAGAATTCCAGTCAGTGCTAGACGAGAAAAATCTTAAATATTTATTAAATTTTCTCTATGGAACATTTACAGTAAATCTCCATTTGTTTTTTTGAATATAGAAAGTATTTCTTGTCTTTAAAATTTGTCTATATGTGAGTTTTCAACTGGTGACATTCGACTTCTCGGAATAACTACTGGCTGATTCAATGCTATTTTCTGTTTTTTCCAAATCCGTATCCACCTCGTCAGTTTTTCCGTTACTTTTCCCTTTTCGGTTCTGAACATTTTGGGGTAAGAGATTTATCAAATCTCAAATTTATGTTTTCCATTTCTGTCTGGGTTGTTAGCGGAATGTCAAGATTTCTTCGTACTGCTTGCAATATCGAATTCATGTTAGCAACAACGTATTGTTCTGATTCTTACGACTTAAGGGAACAAACCAAATTTATTGAATTTCGTCTAGTTTGTTCAAAGATTTAAGAAGAGATTGGTGATCTAAACCCTGTGTACCTTAATATCGACCAAGAGTTCCTGCGCCTCAGCCATCTGTGCTTCATCCATTTCATCAATGGGCGTTATTTCAAGTACAAGCATCAAGTACTTTTGCGCTTCCGAATAATTGCCTAATTTTTTATTTAAGTGACTTCGTCTTACTTTTCTAGAATTTTAAGACTGTTCGTTTACCTTGTGTCTTTTGGCTTCATGTATACCACATATTCATAACTATATAGTATAAGCTGATGAAGGTCAGTTGTTGGAGAGGATCCCTCTTTTACCGTGCCATATCAGTGGATAACGCAATTTAGTATGCAATTGAAGGAATAAATAAAAAAAGAATTCATGGACAAGTAACCTTTGGCAGTGTAACATTTGCCGAGATATATAAGATTGTCGATGTGTCCTGGATTTAATTCCTCCGCCTAAATTATGCATTTGTTTAAAATTATTTCCATTCGTAAAGATATCATATGATATTGTTATACAAGAGCCCTTCTGAAACAGATGCATAAGTCCACCCATTTAATTATTTCATTAAATTCAATTCCTTTTGAGCTACTAATCACTTTGGGATAAAAGAAGTCATCAGTGTGTCTATCATAAGGCATTTAACGAACTTTATGGAAATTGTCAAGTGCTTCATCAATGGTAGATGTTGGTAGTGACCCAAATGCAGCCATTACATGCTCTTTTTCTTCCTCCGACAATGTAGTCATCTGAAACAAAAAAGTCCTATTTATCATTAATCATACAATTCTTTCGGATAGAAACTTTTTAGAATTATAGCTGACTTAGTGCACAAAAATACCGCAACAGAATGTACTATTAAATAGTATCCGAAAATTGGAGTATATTTGCCTATTGATTAATATATCGAAAGTGAAACACGGAATAAATATAAATGATTCATATATTTCTCTATGCCATTTGGTTGTCTTCAAGTTAATAAAATATTTGATTTATACACAAATGAAATTTTCAATAAAGAAATGAATGAATAATTGAAACGAGGAATGCCTCACGCGATAACAAAATCGCCCATTCACATGATAAATTGATGAATCAGGCGTGTAAGCTAATGCCTCATCCATAAATTTCTGAAAATCTATCAAGTTCCATCATTTGAATTATTATCATAAAAGTGCCAACAAATGATTAAACAAATTAAAAATTAATGGAAGGAGAAGCAAAATTCAAATTAAGTCTCAATTTTAACCAATTATGACTTACTGTATATTGTCATCAATCCTCAGAATTTCGATTTTACAAGTAATCCATGGCGAGGGGAGGGGGAGGGTCTTTCTTTCATTCCTTCCGCTTCTTTTAACTTAACTATCGCTGATTTCAATATTTTGAATTACCTTAAACTCCTTTACATAAACCACTCGCTCAGTATCGTCTAAGTTCTTAATTTCAGCAAGTATGCCGGTTATAATAGCTGACCATTTCAGTACCTCGGGATTCTTCGATTCCAGCTTGTATGCCGTCTTACACGACACATATGCTCAACAAATACTTTATTCAGACTTTTCCATGCAAATCACTAAAGATGCATTGTATTGGTTGGTCACATACTCCACGTAATTTCACATGACGGCTAATAGGAATGTTTTTGGAGAATGACGTTACGTTTTCTTGAGAAAAATCGTAAAAATATGGCTATTATTATTCACCTTCTTCCAACAGGCGGTAACGTTCATCCTCCTTAGAAAGGCAAAAGTTCGAAAGGATATAGCAGGCATGTGCAAGGCGATATTCTAATTTAGCGTTCGGTGTCTTGTCTTCAGATATCATCTAAAATCAGTGATCTTTTCTATTCAAACATACGCCAAAACCATTCCAAGTCTTATGGAATATATGTGTTAACCTTATTTAAAATCTGTTCAAAATCTAAAATGGGTCAGTTGACATCAACTTATCCAGCAACAAATACTAATAGTCTGTGTTGTGCATAATCATCGCAATGGATTTTTCCCGAAGCGATTCAGATCTCTACTGAACAATTTTGTCTGAGAATTACTAAACCTCTTTAATGAGTTCATATGCACGCCGGCCGTCGTATTCATCGAGATACTCATCAACTGCATCGTACTAAAATCGATAATGATATTTCACTGCCTTATTTGTCTATCTGTTCATTTGGATGCTTCCCTCTCCTTATAAAATAAAGTAAGCACAATTTTGTGAATCACAGAAAAAATTATCGATCTTTTTGCTCTGTCTTGGATGATTTTTAATTCTTCAACAAAAGTTCAAAAATTAGAAGCCATAAATAAATAATAGAAGATAAAAGCGCCAATGACATCAAACTTTTTGAACCCACAAACCATATTTGATGAAGCGACCGTCATTAACGAAAGAATAAAACTGAAAATTTGATCCGGTTTTGTTGCAGTTATATTTGCACGTCAAATTCGATCAATAAAGTTGTTAAGAATTAGTGATCTGAACTGAAACAAAAATTTTGCCGCTTTGGTATTCAAGCAGAGCCGCTGATTTCGATGCATTTCTCAAAGTGCAAGCATTTATGCAAATGAGCATCGAATTTTACATTTTTATTGGAAGCAAGACGAATAAAATGTTAAACGATGATTTCCCCACTATTTTTTTCCTATTTATCCAATGTTATCGTTTATATTTATCTACAATTATTTTGCAAATATTTTAATGAAATTTCGAATGTATTTTATGCACGTTTTTTGGATTGTGGCATTTTTCCCCATGTGGTGCTTGCATGAGACATTATTCGCGTAGTGGGTAGATATGAAAAGTTAATTGTCGTGAATGGCTAGCTTGAACTGTAATTTATGGCTGAATTGAAAGTCCAAAATTAATATGAAATTTAAGATCTGATTGTATAATTTTTCGAACTCATGCATTATTGTGTGAAACCAATTCCGTCAGTCTTTTTTGCTTTTCCGTAAAAACAACGACAAAAAGACTGAAGTTCGATACGATGGTTAAGATTCTAGTCTATTGATTATCGCTGTAATCATGGTTTACATAGATCAGTAAGCAGAAATAGCATTAAAATATGATGTTTATTTGAAATGCATCAGTTGATCCCATTAATTCTAATCGCTAGCACTTTCGGTCGCCTATCAAACTTCAATCATCGCCATCTGTTCTATCTTTCGCTCAACTGTTCTTCGTCCGAGGATCAAAGGATGTGCTTGAAGTATTTATCTTTAATACAGAACATTATCAACGCCCTACCGGAGCTTCAACGGATTCCGCCGTATAAACCATCTCACACCTACGATCAATCCGCGGAAAAGGAACAGTTTATCGATCTTGAACTTATCGATCTTCCTTAGTTTTACAATGATAATCTTAATCATTTTGTTATGGTTTTTCTTATTGCATTGTATATTCCTTTTTGGACTTATCTCAAACATGAAAATAAGGCAATACCGAAACATGACAGAATCGAAGGAGGTGCAACAAAAATTCTTGGTATCACTTGGATAAACGATAAAGATACAATCAGAGTAACGTTAAAACCATGGATCGAACATGAACTCACCAAACGAAGTGTCTTGCAATCCATTGCTTCGCAATATGATTCTTTGGAATTTTTAGTCCCTGCAATGATCCAGTTCAAACTATTTCTCCAAAACTTATGGAAAAGAAATAATTCTTGAGATCAAATCCTCGATAAAGATGATAAAGAAGCATGGCGATCTCTTACAAAGGAATGGCTCGCAGACATTATCGAAATACCGAGGTTAGCTACAAAAAAGCTCTCAGATCAACAAGTCCATGTCTTCACGGACGCATCAAGTGTTGCGTATTCAGTAGCTGTACACATTTTAAACAAACATACCGACGAAAGAAATAGCGCAATACTTTTCGCCAAATCAAGACTCGCTCCAATTAAAAGTATGATCATACCACGGCTGAAACTGCTAGCAATACTTACTGGTGTACGAGCCGCCAACTTTGTTATAAAGCAATTGAGTATGGGAAAAATCCCAGTGGTGTTATGGTCTGATTCGAAATGTGCATTACACTGGATACAAAGTCGATCGAAATTACTACCCAAATTCATACAAAATCGAGTAGAAGAAATACGAAAGGTAAATTTCTCATTTCGATATGTACCAAGTGAAGATAATCCAGTCGATATTGTGACTAAAGGACTTTCTTCCGTAAAGCTTAGGCAATACAAGCTATGGTGGGAAGGACCGTCGTGGTTAACGAGTCCCGAAAGCGGATGGCTCCAATGGGAATACCAGTCCCAGAAGAATTTAAAGAGGGACAACGAATCATTGCAAAGGTCGCCTCTCAAACAGTCGAGGTAACACAATTTTCGCTTATAAGTGGAAGTCGGTTCAACAAGTCGTCCAAACTTGTAAGAACCACTATTTGGGCTCTCAAATTTATGAAATTTACAACAAAAGGTAAGATAGCATGGATATAACCGATATCGGCAGAAGTGAAGCGACTAACGTCGCAGGACTTTAAATTAGCCAAATGGGTGCTAATTAGAAAGCGCAAACAGAAGGACTCAAAGAGGAAGAAAAGGAAAAATGCAATTTGTACTGCAGTGACAGAAAGCTATGAAGATCACGGGATCCATTGGAAAATTCGGAACTAGACGAGGAAAGCAAACATCCAATGTATTTACCGAGGCATAATGCGGTTACCGAACTTTTGATACGACAGTAACATAAAAAGCTATTTCACGTCAAAACAGCGCATGTTCTTTTG